TAGTTAATCTACGTGTGTGATCGCAGCTTGGATTGCTTGGGTTCTTTGGGGGCAAAACATGTCCACAGGATTCAAATTCTTGATTTGATGTGGGTGGTCGTTTTTTTTAATTTACTGTAGGATTTAGTAGTGTTGTTCTTTTAACAGGACGCTTGTGGCAACTTTGTTTATTTCAAAATTTACTGGTTGATTGGATACAGCCGTATTTTGTTGGATTTATTTGGCATCTTCAACAATCTTGAGATTGCCGGTTCAGTTAGTTTTTCGAAGGTGCTCATTGAGATAGTGTATACATATCTATGTCTATAGGAATAGGTGTGGGTGCATGTGTAAATGTCTATGATGTAATTAAAAAAATTGATTCTCCGTGCAAGTGATCAGCTCATAGATCCCCAAATCCTAATCCGTGCCGTGATGTCCGTTAGCATCGTGTTGCGGAGGACCGACAGCGGCACCGAGCCCACGAGCACGAGGCCGACTGGCCGAGGCTGCTGGGCTCAAGCTGGCCCTGGCCCCCTCCAGGCGCGAGGGCCAGCCCATTGCGCGGAGACAGCAGGCTCCCGGCCTGTCCCCTTGGCGCGGCAGACCTTTTCCGCTTCACGTGCGGCGCCGGAGCGACACCACCTGACCGTTGGTTCTCATCACATAAACCAGCCAGTCATTACCATCGTGAAGTGCACAAGCACAGGGGAGCACAAAAGCAGGCCGTAGCGTTCACTCAATAAAGGTACCATTTTTTTCTTATAAAAGGGAACAAAAGCCGCCGCCAACGAGCTAAAACTATCCGCGGCCTCTTACATAGGATTACTGTACTTGCATTAGGTTATACTAGCACATAACACGCGCTCCGCTGCAACGGGCTAATGAACAGTGCAAAAAACACACGAACGAAGTATGTATGGGCAGTAGCAGCAAAGTGAATAGTAACCGTAATGCTCTCATCAGAGGGTCCATCCCTCCCGCCGCACCTTTCTGAGCCCGCAGAGCCCAATATGCTTGCTCCCCTCTCTCACACGCTTGACTAGTCTAGATGCGGTGCTAGCCCCTCTTCTCTCGTTGCGCCGCTCTCTCTTCCTTTTCTGGTTGCTGCTCGCGCTCGCGTACCATGCCGACCGAGCCCGAAGCTCCCAGGTCGTTGTTGCTCCTTCCTTATAGCCCTCTCGCGCAGCACTCCTGACTCCTCCAACGCCGCCTCAGACTCGTAGTCCCCCCTGTGCATGGCTGAGCAAATCTCGCTGTCGCCCCCTTTTTCCTACTCGTCGTGGCTACAAGACAGGAACTGTGGTAAGCCGCCCTAATGGCTCTCCACCTAGCCAGCCGCACTACCTCCGCGTCCGCCTCGCCTCCCTCCATCTCCTGCACGCGTTCGCCGGGGTGGATATCTGCCGGCACATCGCCGCCGCTGGTGTTGCCTTTGGCATGTTGCTGGTATGCGCGGTTGGCCCTATACTGAGCCTCCATTCGTCCAAGTAGCAAGTAGATGTTGCGTCTGGAAGCGAATGTTGCAAGCATATGTTTCGAATATTTCAGATGTTTTAAAGGTATATTGCAACTGTTTCACATGTGTAGTGGACCGTGACGCCTAAGAGGGGGGTTGAATTAGACAACTTAAAATTCTGGCTCTAAATTATGGCCTCTTTTTCTAACCGTAGCAAAACTTATGTAAAAGATAAACTATCTAAATGTGCAACTACGGTTTTACTAGTGTGTTGCTATCTCTACCGCAAAAGGAGTAATACAAACAATGTAAATGCGGAAGCTAAAGAGCAAGGTAGAGATATGCAAACTTCCGTCGATGACTCCGGTATTTTTACTGAGGTATCGAGAAGCGCACAAGCTTCCCCCTAGTCCTCATTGGAGCCTCTCGTAAGGAATCCCTCGCAAGGGCCAAGCTCCCGGTTGAGATAACTCCGTGGATAGCCCCGGGCCTTCCCCACGCGCAAGTGGGTCTCCGGTGTGCCTTCCGGCAAGCCTCTCCCAGAACGCTCCCCGCCGTCTTCACTATCAAGCTTCCGACCGAAACGCCGTGGACCTTGTTCCCTCCGGTACACGGTGGTGGCCACACTACAAACGCGGTTGATGTGATCTCGCAAGACTACAAGCCTCTCCGATGTACAACAATGATGCGCACAAACACCGAGTGGTAAAAGGTTTGCAAACCTCACTAAACACTAGGTCTAAACCTAAAGGTTTGCAAACCTCACTAAACACTAGGTCTAACCCTAGAGCAAGCGCATAAGCGGTGGTCTAATTAACCTAAGCACTTCGCAAAAGCACCTACGCTAATCACCTAATGAATCACTAAGCACTATGCAAGTGGAGATCACTAAAATGGTGTATCAACACCCTAGATATGTTTCCTCAGCTCCACTATACTCAAATGGTCGGTTGGGGGGTCTCTTTATAAGCCCCACTGAGAAGTAGTAGCTGTTGGGGGATGAAATTCCGCTTTTCTGCTACTGACCGGACGTTGCTGTCGTTCTAATCGGACACGTCCGGTTGTCTTGACCGTTAGAGCGCGCGATCAACTGATCGGACGCTGATGGCGTCTGGTCACATGCCACCGGACGCGTCCGGTCGCAACTTCGCCGCTCTGGAACCTCTATGTACTCGATCGGACGCTGCAGTTTCCTGCGTCCGGTCGATTAGCCGCCAGCGTCCGGTCAGTGCTGAGTGTGCTGCCGGGACGATGAACAAGGCCATCGGTGTGTCTGGTCACTTTCAGTCCTCAGCGTCCGGTCGCTGCTGCTGTTATCGAGCCTCTTGATCGGAGCGTTTGGTCGCTACGACGCCAGCGTCCGGTCAGTGTTGTGAAGCTCGTTTCTTCGCGATCTTGCGTTCGGCTTGGTTTCTATTTTCGTGCTTAGACTTTGTTTGATATCTTGGGTCTTCTCTTGTGCTTCTAGGGTCTTGCTTATGGTGTTGATCGTGGGATCATCACGTCGCCTTCGTTTAAGTCACGTCTTGCACCATATTGAACTACAAAACAATCACTTGCAAATTCATTAGTCCAATTTGGTTGTGTTGGTCATCACACCAAAATCCAAAGTAAATTGGCATATGGTCCATTTTCCTTACAACATGGATGTTGCAAAAGTAGATCAAGATGTTTCATATGTTGAAATGATGTACATGTATGTTGCAAACGTCCGTTCGAAATGTTTCATTTATTTTTCAAACGTATGTTGCAGGTGTGTTTATCTGAATGTTGCATATATGTTTCACACATATGTTGCAAGTGCTTATCTGAATGTTACATATGTTTTTCAATGGCTTTTCGAGTATTTTCAGATGTTTTTGGCAATTGTTTCAAACGTATGTTTTAAGTGTTTCATCTGTCTTCATACGTATGTTGCAAATGTTTTATCTGGATATTTCAAAAATAGAACGGGTGTTGCTGTTGGGACCCACCTGCCGCAGCCGGTGTCCGTCCCGACGGGGAAGTAGAGGGGGCACGAGCGGTCTTCGTGCGGGGTCTGGAGGCGTGGCCCCCCACGTGGGATGCTAGCACCGCTGGAATAGTAATGAACAACGCTAAATAGTGTTGAATAGAGAAATGAATAGTATTATACAGTACTAAATACTGGCGTGCAGTAAAGGAAACATGGATGCATGAGTCCATGGATGGCCTTCATTCTATTCCCGGTCGAGGGATCATTATATTAAACAATGCATGAGGCCCTCGATGGTCTTCATTTTATTCCATCTAATGGCTATTATTGTCAATGATGAATAGTGCTGATAAATATATGACTGGATGTTTTCTGATTTTTAAGGAATTTTTAGGATTAATCTTTTTAATAGCTTGTCTTGTGAATAATAACGTAGAGGTATATTGCTGTAATAGTAAGATTTAATCTAGTGGCGTGAAGTAGGTCAGAAACCAAAACGAGTTTGCCTCTCAGAGCCACAGTGCAATCGCGTCATAATCAGCTCAGCTGCCCCCCTCTCCTGTGCACCTTGCAGAGCCAGAGCCAGTGCTACGAGTAAGTAAAAGACGGTTAATTGGATAAACAATCTGGAATGAAGTTGCCGTTACAGCAAAGGTAAAAAAGAAATAGGCACTGCGTGTGTTACTTTCGCGGCCGCCACAAGTGCGATCCAAGACGATTGACGAAGTGCGTGGCTACGCTAATCCCACAGCAAAGAGCGGCGAATAGCCGAATACATTGGGGCAGTTTTGTTCATTAGCTTGGCACATGTGTTGCCTCGTCAAATAAAGATGCAGCATTGTTGGACGGATCAAGACGTCGTCTTGAACGGCGAGCAGAGGACGAGGACACGGGTAACGGCTGATCGAGGCATCCATGCCTTTCCGGAAAGGAGCCGTGCCCGTGCCCGGATTGATGCTGCACCGTGTTCTTCAGGATACTGAGGAACCATGACCCTCAGCATGTAGATTGTATTATTGTAGACTTCATCACTTGACAAGATGTATACACAGGATAAATTACAACATGTACAGTAAGTTATTTTAATTCCTCTTTTGCAAGAGGGAGAGGAAAACAGATCCAGCTCTGACAGAAAGATACCATGTATTGGCAGTGGCACACCCAATGTTAGATCTATAATAATAGTCATATTATACTTCATATGTACAGGTATTATCCACGAAAGCAGCCATTCTACATGTTCTCTGTATCTCCGAGATCGGATACCCTATTTGTCATGCTCTCACTAGCTGAGCTTTCTTGGTTCCCATACCGCATCATGACGCTTTGGACATCTTTGTCTGCATTTATTTATGTACTCTTGTTGCCATCTTGCCTCTACGATTGCGAGTGGCAGGGACGAGGAAAAGTGCAGTTAACGGCCACCCGTTCCATTCCTCCGGGATTCCAGTACATGCTTTATTTTCCCACGCATCCAGTAACTCAGCAGCAGTTTCAGGAAGCTGCTGCTTTCATACAACAGATCTCCTATACACACTTGCCATCCAAACCGCAGTCCTTCCCTTTGTATCTCCGCTGCGCATCCCTGTGTGTGGCTGCGCGTCTGTCATGGCTTCTTCTCCAGGCAGAGCTATGTTCTTCCTCGGGCTATCCCTGGTGCTACTAGGCGACCTTCGCTGCAGTTCTTGTTCTCAGGTTTGTTTCGGTACAATCAGTACTCTACCAACTCCAATGCACACCACTGCTCTGTTGGATCTTTCTCCACGGTAGTTAACTCTTCTGCACTTCATGAGCTACCACTTGTTTCTTGAGGTCTTCCAGTGTTGTAAGCCTTTCCAAATGGATGCCAACTTCAGGTGTATGTGGTTTACATGGGCAAAGGGTCGCAGGACGACAGTGATCGTCAGCATGACATCTTGAGGCTTCACCACCAGATGCTGACTGCTGTTCACGATGGAAGGTCCATAACAAACTCGTTTTCATTCCTTAGCTGTCGATACCCCTCTAGCTTCCAGTGCTGTTGCATGCAGTATCTTGAGTGGATGCTTCCTCTTCACAGCTCGGAGAAGGCGCAGGCATCACATGTCTACACTTACAGCAGCGGTTTCCAAGGATTCGCTGCCAAACTGAACAAAAGGCAAGCCATGAAATTAGCCGGTAATTTCACAACACATGGTTTCTACTTTCTAGAGTTTGTTATTATATGTATGTAGCACACTGAACCAAAAGGCTAGCCATGAAATGAGTCCAGCTGTGACGGCAGTGATGCCAAAAGGCTAATTCTGATGTGCGTTTCTTCAGAGATGCCTGGTGTCGTCTCGGTGTTCCCAAACACAAAGAGGAGATTGTGCACCACCCATTCTTGGGATTTCATGGGCTTGTCCACCAATGCAGAGGGTGAGGTCCCTGGATTGTCCACCAACAACCAGGAGAACGTCATTGTTGGATTCATTGACACAGGTGAGTAGAATTGCAATACCATACTCAGTTCAAATTGTACTGACATTTTTCAGTCAGTGTGAATATTTGTTATGTTCTTTCCATCAATAATTCCAGTTGTATTCTAGCTTACAAACTGCCAAGACATGTCAGCGTTGCAACTGGCAGTATGCACCTTTTCCTTCCACATGATGTTTGTGTTGTCATGTTTAACTTACGCATCAAATGATTGTTTGGCCATAAAGTTAGAAACAAAAAGGATGGCATCAGATTGATAGAAACCTGTCCATCAAAATCATGAAATTCTAGTTAACTGTTTACCTTCACAGGAATTTGGCCAGAATCCCCTAGTTTCAGTGATCATGGGATGCCTCCGGTTCCTAAAAGATGGAGAGGGCAATGCCAAAGCGGAGAGGCAAATTCACCATCAAATTTCACCTGTAACAGGTACATGCTTTAAAATTAACCCACAGTATCCAGTATTGATTTTATAATAAAGTCACCCATTTACCCAAATACAATAGGAAGATAATAGGAGGTAGATATTACCTCAATGGATACCAAACAGAAGAGAGTGGTTCAAGTAAAAATGCCATCAAGTTCATATCTCCAAGAGATAGCTCAGGGCATGGCAGCCATACTGCCTCAATAGCAGCTGGAAGATTTGTCAGAAACATGAATTACGGAGGTTTGGGCACTGGAGGAGGTCGGGGAGGAGCCCCCATGGCAAGGATTGCAGCCTATAAGTCCTGCTGGGATTCTGGCTGTTATGATGTTGACATTCTCGCAGCATTTGATGATGCCATCAGAGATGGCGTCGACATTATATCAGTGTCTCTAGGTCCAGACTATCCTCAGGGTGACTATCTCAGCGACGCCATATCCATTGGGTCATTCCATGCGACAAACAATGGAATACTGGTCGTTTCTTCAGCAGGAAATGCTGGGAGACAGGGCTCAGCAACTAACCTTGCGCCATGGATGCTCACAGTAGCTGCAGGAACAACTGATAGATCATTTTCTTCATATATCAGACTGGCAAATGGTACCTTCATAATGGTAATTTTCATTCTTAAAAATGATACCTTCAGTCTTTATTACTTATGCAGTCTTAAGAATACTTTTGAACAATGTGCCTTTCATGAAGGGTGAGAGCTTGAGTACATACCACATGAAAACTTCCGTTAGAACTATTTCAGCTTCGGAAGCCAATGCAGGCTATTTCACCCCTTATCAATCCAGGTAAACAAACAACTATCTCGAAAGACAATCATGATTTCAATTATCAACCAACTGAATTTCTTGTGGACTTGTTGTTAGCTTGTGTCTGGATAGCTCTTTAAATAGTACCAAGGCCAAGGGAAAGATTCTTATTTGCCAACGTAATGAAGGCTCCTCCGAATCACGTTTAGCAACGAGTATGACTGTAAAGGAAGCTGGTGCAGTTGGGATGATTCTCATTGATGAGATGGAGGATCATGTTGCTAATCACTTTGCTGTTCCTGGAGTCACTGTTGGGAAAGCCATGGGTGACAAAATTCTTTCTTATGTCAAAAGTACAAGGTTGTCTAAACTTACTATAGGAAGTACATTTTATTGGCATGCCAATCTTTTATCTAAAGTCAGTTCTACAGGCATGCCAGTACAATGATCTTGCCAGCAAAGACGATCTTAGGGTTGCGAGATGCCCCACGGGTAGCGGCATTCTCTTCAAGAGGTCCAAGTTCATTGACACCTGAGATTCTGAAGGTAACCATCACTAAACTGCTGGGAAAGACTAATATAGGTGATAAATTGATTGACATCCTCCTAAGTTTCTTCTCCATGTGTGCATTTTTGTAGCCGGACATCGCTGCTCCTGGGCTGAACATCTTGGCGGCATGGTCTCCTGCTAAGAATGATATGCACTTCAACATTCTGTCTGGGACTTCCATGGCATGTCCACATGTTACAGGAATAGCAGCTCTTGTGAAAAGTGTATATCCATCATGGTCTCCTTCAGCCATCAAATCAGCAATCATGACAACAGGTATTAGTGGGTAACCTGAAATCTCTGAAGATAAACTAGTGTTGCAACCAATCTCACGAATCTTATTTGCAGCAACTGTACTGAACACTAAAAGGAAAACCATAGCAAGGGACCCTAATGGGAGGACTGCGGCAACACCATTTGACTTTGGCTCGGGTTTTGTGGATCCCATCAAAGCTCTCAACCCAGGGATAATCTTTGATGCACAACCTGAAGACTACAAGTCATTCTTATGTACTACAAGCTGCGATGATCACTCCTTGCATCTAATTACCGGAGACAACAGTAGCTGCACCCACAGAGCCTCCTCTTCCGCCACTGCTCTGAACTACCCATCAATCACCATTCCATTTCTGAAGCAGAGCTATTCGGTCATGCGGACTATGACTAATGTGGGTAATCCAAGGAGCACTTACCATGCTGTGGTGTCAGCTCCTCGAGGCATCAAAGTGAGAGTGACACCAGAAGTTATAAATTTCGAGAACTACGGTGCAACGAGGACGTTCACAGTTAGCTTATATGTGGATGTGCCTCCTCGAGGTTATGTTTTTGGCTCTTTATCTTGGCATGGAAATGGAACAGACGCTCGGGTGACGATGCCGTTGGTAGTGAAAGTACAGACTTCTGACAAGGCCTGATTGAGTCGATCCCCTGGAAAGATGCTTGAAAGAGGTTGCTAGAATGCTAGATTAGACTACGAATGTAGTGTAAAGTGGTAGAACTGAATAGATGAGAAGCTAACCGCAACCAATTTGTTATAATATCATAGTATTAACTATGGTATTTGATTTGATTTGTAAATGTCTTGGCTAGAATGCAACCACTCCCAGAACAAGATTCTTTTTCCCCTGATGATTGTTGTAAATTTATTTCGTGACTAAATCCAAATCTTAAGAATGCAGGAGTTGCTGGATTTAACGTTCAGCTAACGAATGCCCCAGGCTTTACCCACCAGGATTCTGCTCCTTGCAATGATCACGGATCCGACAGATGCGAACAGGTTCCTAGTACTGAAACTTGGTCGCCCGGATGAAGTCCCCATGAGCTGATTCCCCCGTGTGGCAGTTGAATGGTCGTGAAATTAGGGAGAGAAATGAAGAGATGGCCAGAGCTCGGGTCTCACCTGTGACATGTCTCGTCGCTGCGTCGCAATGGCGCCGTCGTCTCCCTCCTCGCCACTCGCCCACGGCCCACTCCACCCACCCGAGTGCCCCTTTGCCGATGTGCCGACCGAGGGTCTCCCCTTTGTCGCCGATCCGCCTGGAGAGAAAGAGAGTTGTAGAGGCGGCCCGCGGCCAAGCCCGGGGGGGACCTCCATGGTTGCCGCATTGGCGTTTTGTGTCTGGTTATCAGACTGAAACGACAGGTGTGCTTTCATTTATCAGGCTGCCGCGAGGCACCGAGACCGCCCGATGGTGGCGGAGGCCGGACGCGGGGGAGACGGGTGGCGGAGGTGCCGATGGACGCGGAGGTCGTAACAGGGAGAGTGAGAGTGGGAAGGAGAGGTGGAGTGCACCCTGTGATGCGCGTGCGGCGGCGCGGGATTCACGGGGGAGGGGTTCTAACTTGGGGTTGGCGCGAAGATGGTGGGGAGCTTGGTTGGTTGCGCAGTGGACCGCGGCGTAGAGGCGGAGGCGCATCGGACGGATGGACGCTGGAGGGCTCGGCTTCCTCGTCGCGGGCTCCCGGCGCGAGTTCGTCGTCCTCAACGTCGACGACTTCTCCAAGGTAAGCCGCCGGACGTCGAGCCAATTAACCTTTTCCCCCGGTTGGTCCCGTTCGGGTCGTTGAAACTTTTGAAGAAAGTGGCTGAAAAATTCTGTTCCGACAAAAATATCGTTGTGGTTGGAAAAAAAAAAGCCAAACAGAGCCGGATATAAGGTAAGCCAGCCTGAACGGACTGTGGGATAGTGCTAATTTTGAATATTAATTTTCCATTACTTTTACAAGAAAAACGTAAACTAAGCTCGAGTTGCTTTGTGGATATTTTTCTCTTCTTTGGCGATGTTAGATTTGGCGTACTATTTCCTGTTTGGAAGAAATGGAGAAGCATTGTACTATAGTTAGAGGAACAGCAGGCTTGTTTCACTGCATATCATGATGCTTTAATATCACTTTTGTTACTTGGGCATGTTAGTGTGTAGGCTCTTGCTTAGTTGCATATGGCTAACAAATCATATTTTGTTATCAAACTTTCCTTGAGCTCTCACTGTTACTTCTATTTGTGTTGGCGTCACATTGCAGCAAGGATCTTCACAGGGCTGTCCAGACTATATTTGTCAGATATGCGAAGATGACATTGACATACTCCAGGAAGAAAATGAGTATTTCGTCGCATGTAATGATTGTGCTTTCCCTGTTTGCCGCACTTGTTATGAGTACGAGCGTCAGGAGGGCACACAAGCATGCCCTCGCTGCAAGACCCGGTACAAACGCCACAAAGGTATGACTTTTGCTCCTTGAGCTTGTATCAGTTTTTCAGCTTTGTTATATCCAAAATGAGAATTTAAAGAGCAGTTTTTCAGCTTTGTTATATCCAAAATGAGAATTTAAAGAGTATTTCATCTGTTAGATCAACTCCAAGAGAGTTGCTATTTCCTATTCTATAATCTGATTTAAAGAATTTGATGTAAAATAGATCTCCAGCAGACTATCTATCTCATTGTCCAAACATAGCCACCGGCTATTCCTCAATTTTCACTCGGCAAAGAAAGCTAGCCGCGTTCGCTAGCCATCTCCGCGTGAACCCCGTTTGCGCGTGCAGCATTAGCTCCTCCCGTGCATTTTCGCCCTGTCCTGCGCGCCAGTGCCCTCTCCCGCTTGCTGCCGCCGCCGCACCACCGCGAGCACCTCGTTGGCGGTGTTGTAGTGCCGGACACGGTTGTCCAGCGCGTCGTCTTTCGTCGTAGCAGTAACGCTTCCCCGGCGATTGTTGGCCTCCACGGCTACACTTTTGACGCCGGGAACGGGACCTGCGCCACGGGCTCGTGCGTGACGGCGCTCAGTTGCGGGGCGTCCGGCGGCGTACCGCCCCTGTCAGCCTCGCCGAGTTCACGCTTGCCTCCGACCGAGACTTCAACGACGTCAGCCTGGTGGATGGCTTCAACAATCGATTGGTTTTATTTGCAGTGTTCCGGCCAACGAGGTGCTCGCGGTGGTGCCATGGCAGCGATGGTAGGCTGGTGTGACCGAGCAGACCGAGGCCTTGGCTTGGGGCCTTTTGCTGGAAAACGGCTGGCGAGCTCTACTTGTCACCGAATGCGTTGGCCAGAGACCGGCTGCTCCCTCCGTGTGAGAGACCCTGCGCAGGCGACGGACGAAGGACTGCCGATCGGATCTTTGATGAGAGAAACGTGATGACACTGCAGTTTCAAAAATATAGACAAGAGAATTTAGATAAGCTGTTGCGGTACCCTACTTTTTAAGTGGCTTTTGTATTTTAGATAATAGCTAAATCATGTAATTTGGAATATCTTTTTACATAAGCTCTTGGAGTTGCTCTTAGGTAGTCCTCGAGTCCATGGGGATGAGGAAGAAGAAGGTTCTGATGACATTGAGAGTGAGTTTGCTTCCAGTATAGCTGGAAGATCAAATATAGTGCATCCATACCGTCTCTCTGTGGCAGAAAGCTCCATCAACTCATGGGACATTGATAGTGTAAGTATCACGAACAGTGGAACAAGTGTCCATTTCTATGAAGAGGTAATGAACTTTGATATCCCAATCTATCTGCCACCCATTCTAGTAGTACTGGTGATAAGGTCACATGTTTGCTTTTGCAGCATGTTGGAACTCCAACAAATCATCATGCTCTTGTTGTTCACCCTAACACTGGAGAAATTATGCGATATAATCCCTGTAAGTTTCCCTTTCAAATAGTCTTACTTTACTTTTTCCTGTGCTACTGCATCGGTAGCTTACCATTTGGTTTTGCTGTTGTTTTAGTGCAAACGAGACCAATAAATCCTAATAGAGACCTAGCATTGTATGGCTATGGATCGGTTGCCTGGAAGAACAGAGTTGAGTGGAAAAGAAAACAACAGCATAAAATGCAAAAGGTCTCATCTGATGGTGAAGGATCTGATTTAAATGATTTTGACAGTGATCGCGATATTCCCAGGTGAGCGCATTATATTGTATCAGTAGTATCAGCAAATGCAAAAGAATGCCTTGTGCAATTGATTGTGCAAAAAATGTTGTGCTAGTTTTCTCAAGAAATTATCTGCTTTGGACCTTGTAAGGACATAATTTGCCTACCTGAAGTAAGCATATTTGTATCTTGTCACTATTGGTAGTCATCGTGCTTTCACCTAGAGGAAATTTTAGAATTAAGCCATAAATCATTTTGGTGCCTTTTGCCAGACCTGGAATCAATAGAAATATTGGCTTTTGAAATGTTTTCTTCTATCCTGCATCTTTTGGTTTGTATAAAGCAAGTACTTGCTTTCTCACTGACAAGTGTCTAATACATTCTAGGTGTGCTGAAAGCAAGCAGCAACTATCAAGGAAGTTACCTATTCCATCTAGCAAAATAAACCCTTACAGGATTGTAATCAGTTTGCGGCTAGCCATTCTTGCCTTATTTTTCCACTATCGGATTCTGAATCCTGTACATGATGCTCACTGGTTGTGGTTGACTTCAGTTATTTGTGAAATTTGGTTCACTTTTTCATGGATTTTGGACCAATTTCCCAAGTGGCACCCAATACAGAGAGAAACATACTTGGATCGATTATCATTAAGGTAAATTATCTACCTAAACTAAATATAGGCATAGAATCAGTTACATTTTTGTATAATTTGTGAAATTTTGCCCCCCCTTAGGTACGAGAAGGAAGGAAAACCACCAGAACTGGCTCCAATCGATGTATTTGTCAGTACAGTTGATCCAATGAAGGAACATCCTTTAATTATTGCAAACACAGTTTTGTCTATACTGGCTGTGGATTATCCTGTTGATAAAGTTTGGTGCTATGTGTCGGATGATGGTGCTGCAATGCTTACTTTTGAAGCACTTACAGAAACATGTCTATTTGCACGAAAATGGGTTCCCTTCTGTAAGAAGCACAAAATCGAGCCTCGGGCTCCTGAATGGTATTTTGCTCAGAAAATTGACTATCTAAGAGAAAAGGTTCACCCAGAGTTTGTTCGAGAACGACGTGCAATGAAGGTTAGTTCATATGACAGACTAGGGAAGTAAGACTATTTGGACTTCATTTAATAGCCTTTTTGTTTGTTCATGACTCACTAGACATTTGCTAAAATGAAACTGTACTTAACATCACACATAGCATTCATACGTCCTAGTAATGAGGCGGGGGATGATGAGATTTGCAAGAGTAAGAACATTAAATGATGCACTTTTACTTTCACATTCTCTGTTCTGCTACTGACAATGATGCAATATCTGTAGAAGCATGCTTGCGTGCCTAAGTGCCTGCTTACAAGATTGTTTTTGCATTCTGATCTCAGCTTGGTTTAATACACATTATACTTGTTGATGTGTGTTTGCAACTAATTAGACTATTTTTAACCTGCATTTTGGTTTTCATACAGAGAGAATATGAAGAATTTAAGGTTCGTATAAACGCAGTAGTTGCTAATTCACGCAAAGTTCCCGAGGGAGGATGGTCCCTAC